CCATCGACTCTTTTTTGTACATTTGATATTCGCAATTTATATACAATGTTACCACAACAAGAAGCATTGAATATTCTGGTTGAATTTCTTCATGTACATGGATATAGAAAAGTGAAAGGAATTCCACTCGATACAATAAGAAAATTAGCATTTATTGTACTCGAACAGAATGTTTGCGTCTATGATAAAAAAATTTACAAACAAGTGCTTGGTGGTGCGATGGGATCATCATTTACATTAACATTAGCCAATATATTTATGTGGAAATGGCAAAAAGAACTTGCTCGTCGACAAGATATCACAGGTGAATTTTATGGCCGGTAATTAGAATATGATGAATTATAATCAATAAAATTTTATTTCGAATCATTTTGACAGATACATCGATGATATTTTTATGACATGGAATAGATCCGAAAATGATTTGAAGAATTTATTAAACGATGCAAATACTTGGCACCCCAATATAAAATTAGAATATAAAATTAGCAAAAGTCTTCCATTTCTTGATGTTGTTCTTACAAATAATAATGGTATGCTTTCAACATCTGTCTATCATAAACCAGCAGCAGAACCTTATGTTGTACCATTTATATCTGATCATCCAAGACACACATTCGTCAATGTTATACAAACAAGTCTTACTCGTGCTCTACGAAATTCATCAACATTTGAAATATTCAACAACGAACGAATCTATATTAAATTAACTCTATTGTACAACGGGTAAATTTTTTTTCATTAGATTTTCTTCCTATATATAGAAAATACTATTTAGATATCCATCGCCATTCATTGAGAAACGATTTCAAAACTTTTTTTCTGAATATATAAATTCGTCATCATTTTTACCGTTTCTTGATAATGAAACTCAATTTGTAACTATGCGTAATAAGATACTTAATCTACCCACTGCTCTTCAATCACAAGTATCGATAAGTGCAGCAACCGCTGATATTGACAATGACCAGACAGACGAACCACAGAACGAACCGACAGCAACAAACGCAACAACAACAGTTCAAGAACGAAACAAGAAAGAACATACTCGTGCCAATAAATGAATCGTCCATTATACACATGAAAAACGATTTCAAACATTTAAATCAGACATGCATCAAGTTTATGATAATACATTCAAAGATACACCTGCTGCCGACGTTAAATTAATTGTTGGCAATAAGAATCGTCGTCCTGCAAAAAAGGAACTCATTTGTAAACGACCAAAACAATCCTTAGTTATCAATAAGCCATTCAAAAGTAAGCCATCTAAAGTAAAAATCAACAGAGATTAATCGACACATTATTTCATTTTATTCTTTTCCTAGAACCACAAAGAAAAAGACAACAATCACGGAAAGAAGATTCATCTGATCCCACGAAGACATAATCAACAAGATCAGAAACACAATACATCAGTCTTCAAGCCACCACAAAACATAAACAACTGATTTTGATGCACCTATTAAACAAAACTTTCTTTTTTAACAAACTTATTAGATAAATTTCACCTTCAATAGTCTGCAAAAAAAATGTTAAAAAGATCTAACATAAATAAACAAAATACAAATCACTATATCAAAATTGATTTCTTCTCTGTTTCAGATACTATAAATGCAACCACTATATTTTTCTCAAGAGTCAATTACCACAAAGCAAAAAACCAACTACAATACCGAAACATAACAACTCTTTCAACTAGCTTCATTTGGAATAAAACAAGGTTACTCCTTATATCAACCGCAACAACAGCATAACTTAACCAACGGAAAAAAATTAAAAATATCAATTCAAACAAACCCAACCAAACAACAGTCATATCGTTCATTCAACAACAATCACCACGAGAATAATCATTTGTGACTTGAATCTTCTAGTACATTATTATATATTTTTATAATTTTGTAAATTCTTGAAGATAAAATTTTTTTTGAATTTTCGATTAAGAATAATTCAAGATAATTTAAGCCATCTGATGATTCCTTTAGTCGCGATGAAATCTAGATAATGGTAGCTTATTCACACTACTGATTTGTGACTTGAATCTTCTATTACATTATTATATATTTTTATAATTTTGTAAATTCTTGAAGATAAAATTTGTTTTGAATTTTCGATTAAGAATAATTCAAGATAATTTAAGCCATTTGATGATTCCTTTAGTCGCGATGAAATCTAGATAATGGTAGCTTATTCACACCCACACCCACACCCACACCCAATTCATTATAAAATTTCTATGACAATAGAAAATACATGATGTAGTTCAGGTCCAATAAAGAAGATGAATGTAATTTCAGCTTAAACACTTGTTTCATTAATGACTGTATCGTGAGAACGACTTTTTTTCGCTAAGTATCACATATTAATAGTTATTAATCCTAAAAAGAATAATTTTGAAAAGATTATCAGATACAAGTTTTGACCCAGTATATACAATCGCTTACAACACAATGCTAATGCAACAATGGAAGATTGAAAGTATTATACATAGTTATTATTGTTTTCCTTAGCTTGGTGTATTTCGATTTGCCTTGAAATTAAATAAACATTTTCATTTGTTTTTCTTATGCACTCAATATTGATCAAATGAGGACTAGCTTCAACAGTTTTCTGTTACGTTCTAGTGTTATTCAATATCATGATTGTTTTGCTTTTTTATCAGATGGTATCTACTGTACTTCACACAAAGAAAAGAGACTCAATATGGCGGTTCTTTTATTCATTTGGTTTCATTAGTAGGGTCGGATGTCACAGAACAACAATGCATTTCGAAATAAACAATAGATATTACGCAATTTTCTTTAGTAATAGAATCAAAAAAGAATAAAAAAGGAATAATATTTTTGATAATGGATTCAATATAATGATTGATTTGATTGTGTTTTACTGATTAATATCAACATGACTATGAAGTAATTGTTGTGTGAATGTGAGTTTTAAGATTTCTGACAAGAGAAAGGTAAAACTCGTCTACAGAGGCTCGATTGTTGGATATACATTTCAAATATAAAGCATAAAAATAATCAACCAAAAGAAAAGGTCATATCCTTTGAGGCTATCTTTTGGTGTTTTTTTAGTAAAAGAAATCAAGTGCAAAAATTCTTCGAGCCATATAGTGGACTTTGATCAAGCAAAAAAAAACAACTGCGCAGCTACGATTTACATTAACTTTGATTGGATACGGTTTGTTTTCCGCATAATTGAAAGTACTGCATACATTTTTTGTCCTCCAATACTGCCATCACGCCACTTATAAGTTTCATAATGGCTGTTAAACACTTAAAAAATGAGTGGTTGCAAGAGAATGTTCGTCTCTTTTGAATTGAAGAAAAAAAATTTGATTGCCCTCGGAATATTTTTTTCGTCAAGATTGATGTAAATAAATTGTAGTTCGGTCGTATTGTAACAAATCCAAGATAGCTACTCTGTCAAATTCATAGTATCATATTCTGTCCCTATGTTCTACTCTAAAAACTTGACGTACTTGCGCGAATCAGCCACAGTTCAATTGTTTTTATGCTGTTGGTAGGAAAGATTAACATGAACAGAATCTTGCACAGAATATTAATAACTTTGAATTTATCTATTTCTTATGACTAACAGACATGATCGAATATTATTATTTGATGTGAAGGCATTGCTTGAATTGACCAATCAGAAAAGTTTTCTCATCCTTTTGCACACAGTTAATGTATGAAGAGCAGAAAGAAACAGCACTATTTAACATATAATGCATTCACCAACGGGGGTGCCTGCAATCGCTTGTACAGAACAGAGAAGTCGGCACCCCTGCTGTTTTCTAAGCTTGACAGAAATTGCGTAATAGCTCGAACAGATAAGTAGCAGAATAATGGTCATCTCTGTCAATACGTAAGAAATACCAAATAATCGTCTTTCGAACAATCTGATGTTTTATGCCTTAGATCTAAATTATACTTTTAGAGCTATATTGTTTATTTGAAATATAAGAAAAGCACAAATTTCGAAAGAAAATTTTCCAAAAGTATTTTTTTTATCCCCATCGTCCAATGACAGCCATGAATGCTGCACCGAGATACAGGGCGATAAAATATAAAATTTTCACTCGTGTTTTCAGTTCAAAAAATCTGTGTGCTCCTGGACCCATTTCAGCAGCTATCAAATCGACCAAAGCAACATAGATCAAAATACCAGTTGAAGCTGCGTCTAGGATACCAGTTGATAGTAATGCAGCAACTGATTTCGGATTATATGTAGTGATATGAACACCGATGCCAATCGCAATACCAATTGGAGTAGTGAAAGAGTAGAATATTACCATCATAATGCCTGGTAATATGGATTTATTGTTGAGTAATGCAATTTGTGCACCAAGTGCAATAGCTTCAAAAAATTGATGAAAACAAAGTGCAATAAACAGTGCTACAAATGTTGAACCATCTTCAGTACCCAATGTTACACCAATGAGAACCGAATGTATGACAATACCGAACTCAAGCAAATAGGTAGTAATACGACGATTACGATCTTCGTCTAATAATGAGAGACCATGACTATGACCTTGTTGTTGGCAATCTTCAACAGGTATTACGTAGGGTGTCGAATCAATGTTTTCAACTACGATTTTCTGTTCTTTTTTTGGCGTTCTGTGCAATTGATGATGTGCAATAACTTCTATAAGTTGCATGAGCAGTACAGCTATCATGGCAAATAGACCTGCATAAGATTCATATTCTTTCCAACTGTCAGGTAAGCATTCATCCGTCAATGCACTCATAGCTCCCGGTAGAGTATGAATGAAGCCGGTACCCAGAATGACCCTAGAAAAACGAAAGCATTGAGCCAATATATTTTTCGCACAGTTTGAATATTTACCCAGCGCCAAAATATTTTCCTGCATTAATAATTATTGGATGTATACGAAAGAATTTGATGTAACTTGAAAAAATAGTAATTGAAGCACCAGCAAAAGACACGATCAACAGAACAAAAACAGAAATAATTCGGAGTGTTAAATTGTAGGAGTCACTTCCGTCGTCTGTAACTTGACAAGAATCCGAATTCGAATTCGACATTCTGCCTTGAAGATTTTGAATGAAGCTTGTCAAATTATTTATGATATTGTTTTGAGTTTTGCCAAAAGAACGAATCTAATAAAAAATCGAAAGAAAAATCGTTGGATATAAATTCTATACTGAAAAATGAAAATGAAAATGAAAACTGTTTGTCATATAGAAAATTTGCTTCAGTTTATATACGATGAAAATGACTTGAAAGCAGACAAAATGTCCCCATAGATGTAACTATGAATAGATCTATTTTGATCAACAACTCTCACACAGCAGACCGCCAAGGTAGTGGTATGTTCTTTTGTTACTGATCTTTTCCTCAGTGACTGAAGTTTTGCTTGATTAAAGTATACCCCGAAACTATCGTGAATGCAAAAACAATACTTCCATCTATGCTTTTTTTTATAGTGCACACGATACTGCTGTCGATGATTAACCTTTTTCAACAGTTCTTTTCAATAATGTGAATATGTATGTGAAGCACAAAAAAAAACAATCTTTTAAAAGTATTGCTAGACTGTGACCATGAATATGATATATTGAAAATATTTAATATTTGCTTGAAATAAAAACAAAGTATCTTGAGGACAAAAAGAAACCGTAAAACTGTATCATCTGACGAGGGAAAGTCCCCAGATGTTGACCCGGAGTTTGAAATGAAAGCTATATGACCATTACAAGTCAAATACTGATGTTTCAAATATGAAAAAATTAACGGCTGAGACTGAACCGTTCAAAGTATTTTGACTAGAATATTTTTGTATTGAAATCTGGCGGGGGACCACGAGTAAATGTTTCGATGAAAATTACTTTTGTAGAAAAGGTTTGAAACATTTGTAAGCCAAACCAAGTTGTTACTTGTGACTCCAAATATACGGTTATCTTTGTGGCATACTCTATTTTTCACAACAAAATCTGTTGATTAATATTAGTAAAAGATATAAAAATCATTTCTACAGAACAATACATTAAGAAATTTGTCATTGATCAGTAATCAGAAAATTTTTTTTAAATAAAGAATTTTGTAGCGTTTCAAAAGTAACGTTACATCTATTCGTGTTTAAGTGACACTTCAGGGTGTGGGTGTGGGTGTGGGTGTGTGATAAGATAAGCTACCATGACCGGTTTCGATCTTGCTTAAGGATCTCTTCAGATGGCAAACAATTCTGTATGCTTAAGAAAAAACACAAGAAGCAGTATCTATTCTGTTATATAGTGAAAATTTTTTTAAAAATTCACTTCATAATTGTGCCAACAGCGCGTCACTCTGACATGACAAGGTCAATTATGATAGCACAGAACAATGGACTTCCTTCCCTATGGCATAGCATAAAGAAGCACTTTAGTCTGATGTTACAAACTAACTGAGTTAACAATAAGCGATGAACGTCCTTTTGCATGCCATTATGTAAAGCAGCACATCATCCGAACGTAATTGAGCGGTGTGGGTGTGGGTGTCGGTGAGTGTGAATAAGCTGCCATGATCTATATTTCATCCCTGCTAAAGGAATCGTCAGATGGCTTAATTATCTTGAATTATTCTTAAGCGAAAATTCAAAACAAATTTTATCTTCAAGAATTTGCAAGATTATTTAAAATAATAATGTAACAGAAGAATTTCTTTCACAAATCAGTAGTGTGTAATAGCTACCAACCGCGTTTCATCCCTGCTAAAGGATTCATCAGTTGGCTTGATGTATTCAAGTTTAAATAAAAATTTTTTTACGAAAATCAAAAAAAACTAAATAGATAAAATAAAATTCATTGTTATAAACAAAATCTTATATAAAATAAGACCTATTTATAATAGAATTAAATTTTATAAATAAAAGTTTTAAAGAAAAATCCAGATCGGCACGACGCATTTCGTCCTTTCTCAAGGGACTCATCAGGTATCTTCGAATTTCTGTCATTATATAAAGAAGAAACTCATTCAAATAAATTTCAAAGAAGTTAAAACTTGAACATAATAAATAAAAAGGTAATTTCAATAAATTAGAGCACGTCTTAACTTTTAAATGGCAAATAAATATAGAATCTCGATGACTTCGTAAAATCAAAGAATTCAAACTAATAATAAATTGATTTTAAAGGTTACGTTCATTTATTCATTAAGCTATATCTAGTTCGTAGCAGGTAATAGATAGCGTCTTTTCATTTCAATGAAACGACTATAAAACAAATGGCGTCTTTTCATTTCAATGAAACGACTATAAAACAAATGGCGTCTTTTCATTTCAATGAAACGACTATAAAACAAATGGCGTTGATTGTTCTTCGAAATTTATCTTTAATTACTTCTAGGCAATATCTTAATTTAAGGATTCTATAATGAAATATATTCAACGTTTCCAAATAGAATAATATTGGAACTTTCTATCAAAAAAGTCATTTTTATTTAACCAATGAATAAATGAGCATACAAAAGTAAATTTGTTTATTGACGGGTTCAAAGTACTCTGATAATTATTGACAGAATATTTATTTACTTCAATATCACTCTTATCTATATTACAAATTATATCTAATCATGAATTATTTGCTTCATCCTCCCACAAAATATTGGTGAACTAACACTGATACACTATAAATAACAATAATTGCAGACATGCTATTTTAATGATCTCTTTCTTATTGCATTGAAAATCATATATAGACAAAGCAAATCGACGCTAGACATTTTAAATGATAAACATACGTTAGAATAATAATCAATATACGTCGAATGTACTCAATACATATAGTCGAACATAGCTACTTAAATTAAATGAATAGTAATTCGAAGATCTATCTTGAATATAATCTAAGATTAGCTTCATTGCAATCTAAATTTAATCATTTAACCTTACTTTCATTTATATACTACAATAATCTTCCATGAATTGACCCATTTTACTCAATGAATTATTCCGTTAATTCTTTAAGAGTAAAAGTATATGTTCTCATTTAATCTAGAAAATATATCGAACATTAGTTATCATCATCAATAAACATTGCATCGATTAATATATTATACCTTATTTTTATATCTTTCAGAATAACACTAGTAAAGTATAGTTCTACTATCAGTTTGTAGTATTAGAAAATGAAAGTTCGCCTATTCTAACCAATTCCACTATCAAGGGAAAATATATATTTAAATAAACCATACTAACACACTCCCATATGAGTTCCCAACAACAGAAAGAAAAAGGTTCCTAATATCGATATCTCCTACACCATATTAGAATTAAAATAATGAATACATCAACTGTATCCCTTGATGGGCTACAATCCTCGATACTCACATAAAAGAATTACTCTTAGATTCTTCAATAACAAAAAAATCTTAAATGTTTACTCCATCTCGAAATAGTCGTCCATCGAACGGATTCGTAAGCAACATTAAATGGAACATCTAGCAAAACGATGCTTGAATAAGAATTCTCAATTTTCAATTAATAAAATTAAAATATGTTCACATCGTTTGAACCAGATACAAATGAGTTACTCAACAGTATCATATATTGAAATATCTTCTAACACTGACATGTTTCTAATTCTACAAAAAGAAATAGTTTCTATTTTATTGAACAAGCACTGAGAGTCACAACATCGCTTATTCCACCTCGTGTCATTCAATAAAGATCCTCGAGAAAATAGACAACAATTTTCAAATACCTCAATCAGAACTTCGCAAACCATTATCTAACCGAAAAATGAACTTTCAGAAGCCAGCGACACAGCAGATCTAACATTTCGCTTAAATAAAACAAACACATCGCCATATAAACTAACAAAAAGACATGGGTCATGTCGACCTGTCGACGAGAGAAACCTAGCAAATCTGACACACAAAAAAAACATGAACATATGTCAAAGCTTATGAAAAACTTAATGAAAACATTCCAAAAAAATATTCACTCACAATACCTAATTTTTCCATGACAGCCTAGAAAAACCAAACAAAAAACCCATATACCGGCTCCACTTCAATTGCTATCAAAACCTTTCCGCTTGCCAAAACCTCCCATTTTCCCTTCCTCCATCCAATAACACTCGAGCCAATATTCTAGCTATTGAAATGCCGAAAGGTCACCGAGTACTCTCCAAAAAAAAGAAGTCCTGGCAAAATATTCGATTAAAAATTCGTATTTTTTACTAGATATTAAATTCTGCTAGGTCAGTTGTTCATTCCTTGAATTTTATACTTGAAAAATAGCAAATTTTGGAGAAATCTCATCAATTGTTGAATGCTATTTCCTTACAACGCTCGGACAGCCCTTCGGGCTGCCTCGCTCTATGTCTTCTTTGATTGAAAAATCATCTATATTCGAAAGAAACAACAAACTCGTCTATCTCAATAGCCGTCTATCTCGATACCCGTCTTTCTATGGGGGGCATGGCTCGGTGTGGGTGCTTGGGAAAGGGAGTACAACTGCTCGAAAATCTCAATATGCACAAGGCACAGTGTGGGTGCTTGGGAAACGGAGTTAAACCCTGAAGAAAAATATCGAAAGAAGCATGTCCTGGCAGAATATTCGATTAAAAATTTGTATTTATTACTGGATATTAAATTCTGCTTGGTCAGTTGTGGGTGTGGGTGTGAGTATGGATGTATCCGAGGAGACCAACACCCATACCCCACACCCCACACCCCACACCCACACCCACACCCACACACATGAAAGATTCAATTGGCATCGTATCTCAAGCGTTTGCTATTATTCTACAAAATGATTTGAATCCTTTCCATGTGCATTTTGAACAGAAGAAGCTCTTGTTACACTTTAATATTCACGATGCATATCTAGTGAAATCATTCTATGATTTAAATCCAACTGAAAAACAAGTTCGTATTTTATTCAATTTGATTTCTTCTTCTATGTAAAATATTTCTTTTTTCTTTTCTATTCAAGATTCATCTTGTTCAACAAATTTGGCGAACAAAATTAAATTCATGTGAACGACTTCTCCGTGAAAAAAGGAAAATAAATTTTCAATATAACACAACAACGATCAACATGAACCTACTGTCCATGAATGAATTTGTTCCTATCATGTGTACCATTATTGAAGCACGTCTCATCACTATCGAACAACACACACAAGTCATCTTGGAATTTATCAATACTCCTTCTCAATAATAAAAGAATACTTTTTATCATATATACATAAATATCTGATGGGAATGTTTTTTTTTATGCATCTTATCACGTTAAATCCTTGAAATAATTCATTTCTTTTTTGTTTCAGATATAAATCTTTGTCTTTCTATTAACGATTTCAACAAGCAATGCTAATTCATACAATCAAGAAGAAGAAGAGCAACAACACCAGGCAATAGTTATCCTATGGTCTTTTTTTCTCAAACAAATATTTTCCATCTTATTATAGAATGAAACTTTGCAAAATTTCGATAAAATGTCAAGTAATCTTCCATGAAATATTGAAGAAAAAATGAAAGTTGAAGAAAAATTGAATGTAAGTGTTAAATAAATTTAAATCGTTTATATTCCTACTGTATATTTTTAATTTCTAGGAAGTGGAACAACAAAATTTATCAGAAAAAATGCGTCAATTATCAACTAATGCAACACATGAAAAAGATCCTATCAAGATAATGAAAGAGATCAGAGATCAACTTGAAATAATTCCAAATTATTTAACAAAGCAAAATATATCTTTCAAAGAACTTATGCATCAAGTCTTATCGTCAATAATAACAACAACAGAAAAATTAAAGAATAATATGGATGAATTAAGAAAAATACCTATTTTAATTTATAAAATTATGGTTATTCAAACTTATCAATATTTATGGAAAACTTATTTCAAATCAGGTACAGGACAATTGATTATTCCATCTGAAACAAAACAAAAGGTATCCTATTCAACAACTTTACCAATATGGCCGAAAGAAATAAAAACTATTGTATTATCAAACAAGAAAGATAAAACAAATGGAAATGAAATTTGTTTAAAATTTGTCAATGATCATCTATATGCACTGCAGCATCAATTAAAGCAATATTAACAAGAATTGAATATTAAAGCAAATAATTTTCAAGGTTATACAATATCAATTCAAGAAAAGCTTATGACATATATTGAAGAAAATCTTAATTCTTCGTTAAGTAAGAAAATTGAACATCAAGTGGAACTGATTCATTATGATTATCATATTCGAGCATTGGAATTAGAATATTTTCAACATAAACCAAATGAATACCAAGTATGTTTTTTTTTCTTTTGAAAAATACACAAATAAATCTTCTTTTAATCTAATCGATAACATTTTTAGAAACAACTAATGAAACAAATTTGTCAAAGTAAATATGAACAAGAAACATCAGAACAGGAATATGAATTTTTAAAGCAACAAATTGCATATTACAATTTACCAAGTCGATCATTTGAATGCTCACCAATATCTCATCATCCGTTCATTGATTATATTCAAAATTTATCCGTTCGAGAAGCATTAATGAAACAATTTAAAGAAGTTGCTATACAATCGAGAAATGCCTTATTTAATTTGTATCTAGAATCAGCTGAAGATCAACGAGAAGAATATAAAAAGAAACATGAAGCCAGCGTAAAGAAAATGGACGCATCTCAATATACATTGAATAATAATGAAAAGTTATCTTCAACATTGGTACAACTTATTAATGAACGTTGTAATAAAATTAGTGAACGTATTCAATCTATTTATAAATTTAAATTAGAAAATTTTCTTTCGAAATTAAACTTATAACTCTATCAAACGGATAATATCATTTTTCTTTATTGTTATTGTTCAATAGCATTAAGTTAATTTTCATTTTATCATTATGTTGTGTTTTTCATTTCAGATAAATTATCTAATAATTAAAATCTACTATTAAACATGAACGTGAACAAGAGTCATCTTATAGATGATCCTGTATCTGCTCATCGAGAACAAAAAACACATAAAAAATGTATTGGTAATCGGCAGGATCAACGCTTTCGAAAAAAATGTCGTAGACGTGGGATGAAAGCTGATAGTATAGAAAAATTACTTCAGGCAAAAAAGAAGATTCACAATAATAAGAAAAACAAAGCCAACAACTCAACGAGTACTACAACCCATGATAATAACATATTAACAACATCGAAGAATGCATCTATTCGTAATAAGGATCCATCAATACAAAAAAAATCGAAAACAAATCTTACTAAACGTAAACGAGATGTATCATTACAACAGCAATCAAATCTAAATACAACAATACCAAAATCAACAAGTTCAATATCTATTCTTCAACCAGCATTGAAAAAAGTAAAACATAAACAGAAAACTATCACGAATACAAATATTTCATCAATTAAAGTTCAACAGAATACTTTGAAGAGAACTTATCGGTAAATATTTGAATATTTTTATAATCTTCTTTTCTTCATTATTCGTATCTATCTAATTTTTACAAATGTTATAGGCGACCGATGTATTTGAAGCGATCACCAAAGATACTTATTAAAATGTTAAGTAAAACATTAAATTATACATTTAAAGAAAAAGCTGATGAACGATTTATTGTCGCTCGTCTCGATCTATTTGATCGATTCTATTGTCTACGAATAGATCTACAATTATGGGAATCCTACCTAGATATTGGTTTACAACAACATTTGTGGCCAGTAAGTTTCATTCTCAATTATTTATTTTTCATATAATTTATTTTTCTATATAAAAAAAATGTAGGATCGACTTTATACAATCGCTAAAACGAATGATTTCGAAAATTGTCATCAATATCTTTTGAATCATATAAATGATCTCAAAATAAATTTGGATCAATATCAGATGGAACTGGATAGGCAATCACAACCATGTCCCATAACAACATTATCATTGGATCAAATTGACCATTGTCTGAATGAATTGGTCATTTGCCAACGAAAATACTTATTGATGAAAAATAACAATCAATTGTTAAAATTTAAAGACAACTTTCATGATAAAGATTTATTTAAAACTGTATCTACATTTCGTCTTACAATAGATCGGGTTAGTGTCTATAGAGTTTCATTTTGTTTTTGTTTTTATAAAATCTCTATTTTTATTATAAATTTATATTCATTTAGAATGCATACATAAATCAATTACTTTTAATACGAGAAAAACAAGGAGAAATTTATGAAGAACTTTTGATTTTAGAAATGCGAATTTTGTATAAATTTTTACCACAAAACTTTGATCAACTACAATATTTCATTACACCTATAACTTATTCGCCATTGAACAATAATCAAAAAGCAGTACAAGTAAAAAATAAATGTTATAAAATTATACAGGAAGCTAAACGTTTATGGTTAAATATTTTATTCAATGCTTGTGAAATTAAAATACAAGCATATGATTGTCAATATCAAAATATATTTCTACAATTGGAATCACAATCGATCGTTACCAACAATGTTAATGATTCATCTATTTCTAACCAAATCAAAGAATATCTGATTTATCGAACAAATAAATTAAAACAAGATATTTATAAAAAGGTAGCAAAGTCTCGAGCAATCGTACTTCAGATTCGTCAACATTCATCGTCATCGAGAAAACAAAAGATTATTGGTGTCTCTCCTGAGCCCTATATTGACTTGATCTCACATCAATTTGTTAAACGTCAATGGAATCATCTTTCGCTTGGTAAAAATTTTTTAATTGACCAAAATTTATAATTCGTTGTCTTATATTTTAGGTCCATCTTGTATACGATTAAATCAAAGTGCTATTCGTCCTCGAAAGCAACAAGAAATTCTTATAAAAAAAGAACATAAAAATATTGATCAAAAAGTTGTTCATCATCTTACATCACAACCAAATAATATACCATTAAAATCAAGGATTCTAAAAACATATTCCGATGATCTACTTAATTATTTTAATCATTCTTATTTTTCTCCATTAACATATAAGAATGAAATACAAGCACTCGAACAAGCAAGAACAGCTTTATCAATTCGACGAAAACTCAAGAAATCCAATCTTATTCTTCGTGTTACTGATAAGGGTCACAATTTTTATATTGGTTCAGCAATTGAGTTTGATAAAAAAGTACAAAAGTTTTTTCAAGATACAAATGCTTTTGTGATATTAAAAGAAAATCCATTCAATGAAATTTTGGATAAAGTTATTCATTTACTCAATCAACTTCATGGAAAAAAACTTATTCTACGATGGCAATATAATAAAATGATGCCCAATCGAACAAAATCTGAATTAGCTCATTTATATTTTAATCCTAAAACACACAAGGTATAGTGGATACTTTTTTAAAAGTGTACTATGAAACTATTTTATGAATTTTTTTTCTATTCAAATTTAGGATGATATACCAGTTCGACCCATTGAAAATACAATGCGTGCTCCAATAACAAAAATTTCAAATTTCTTAGATGAAATCATACGACCTATATTCGATAATAAATGTTCTACAACAGCCATTATTGATAGTACTTCGTTAATCAAAGAACTTGATAAATATGCAAAAAGAGGTCTTTTGAAATCATCGACTCTTTTTTGTACATTTGATATTCGTAATTTATATACAATGTTACCACAAGAAGAAGCATTGAATATTCTTGTTGAATTTCTTCATCCACATGGATATAGAAAAGTGAAAGGAATTCCACTCGATGCAATAAGAAAATTAGCATCTATTGTACTCGAAGAAAATGTCTGTGTCTATGATAAAACAATTTATAAACAAATGCTTGGTGGTGCCATGGGTTCATCATTTACATTAACATTAGCAAATATATTTATGTGGAAATGGCAAAAAGAACTTGTACGTCGACAAGATATGACAGGTGAATTTTATGGCCGGTGAGTAAAATACGACGAATTAAACTCAATAAAATTTCATTTCAAATCATTTTGACAGATATATCGATGATATTTTTATGACACGGAATAGATCCGAAAATGACTTGAAGCATTTATTAAAAGACGCGAATACTTGGCACACAAATATAAAATTAGAATGTAAAATTAGCAAAAGTCTTCCATTTCTTGATATTATTCTTACAAATAATAATGGTATGCTTACAACATCTGTCTATCATAAACCAGCAGCAGAACCTTACGTTGTACCATTTATATCTGATCATCCACGACATATATTCGTTAATGTTATACAAACAAGTCTTACACGTGCTCTAAGAAATTCATCGACATTTGAAATATTCAACAACGAACGAATCAATATTAAGTTAACTCTATTGTACAACGGGTAAATATTTTTCATTAGATTTCCTTCTTATACATAGAAAACACTATTTAGATATCCATCATCATTCATTGAGAAACAATTTCGAAACTTTTTTTCTGAATATATAAATTCGTCGTCATTTTTACCGTTTATTGATAACGAAACTCAATTTGTAACTATGCGCAATAAGCTACTTAATCTACCCACTGCTCGTCAATCACAAGTATCATTAAGTGCAGCAACAGCAGACATTGACAATGACCAGACCGATGATACACACCAAGAACCAACAAGAGCAGCTCATGAACAAAACAAGCAAGAGCATACTTATGGAAATAAATTAATCGTCCATTATACACATGAACAACGATTTCAAACATTTAAATCAGACATGCATCGAGTCTATGACAATGTATTCAAAGATACACCGGTTGCCGATGTTAAATTGATTGTCGGCAATAAGAATCGTCGTTCGTCAAAAAATGAACTCATATGTAAACGACCTAAACGATCCTTACTCATCAATAAGCCATTCAAAAGTAAGTCACCTAAAGTAGAAATCAACACAGATTAACCGACACACAATATTTCATTTGATCCTATTTTTCTAGAAAGATAAAGAAAACCAAAACAATCACGAAAAGCGAATATATCTGATCCGACGAACCAACAATCATCAACACTACCAAAACAAAACACCAGCCTTCAAGCCACCCCAAAAATATTTAAAAAAAGAACACAGCTCATTTTCATACTCCTATTACTTTAAACTTTTCGTTTTTTACTAACGTGTGAGATAAACTTCAACTTCCATACTTTACAGAAAAAAAATAGAAAAAACGATCTACAACAATCAAACGAATCCCTCCGATTATTTCAAAACTGATCTGTTTTCTGTTTCAGATAAAAATAAATACGCCGATTCCATATTTCACAAGACTCAATAATTTTATGTTGAAAGGAGGCTAATTAATCTTGACGTAGTTATCAACCAATTTCATCAAGCAAAAATTATTGATCAATCAATGATATTTTTAACCCTCAAACCTTATTAAAAATTTATTAAGTGAAATCTGTTGATCGATAATTATTAATAAACTATATATTTGTTTTGCTTAGTAAACACCTATTTGATGCTAATCTTTAGCTTTCTAGCTTTTTTGTTCGATTAAATTTTTGATATTTTTTCGTGTTTTTTTCTTTTCATTTGTTTTTGATTTTACTGTGCCTCTTAATTTTCATTTTTAAATTTTGCTTTAATTGTAATGCAGAGCCCTGATGAGTGTTTCAATATTTCAATAAATAATACGAAACGCGTTGGCGAAATTAAACTCTGCATTCACTTTTTATTATTTCATAAAGCACGGATATTCAGTTTTTCAAATCAATTACGACTACATCAGTTGCTGAGAAGCAAGAGTTGAGACTAGCAGATTGATTTGTATCTGAGAGATATAGATTGATCTGTTTCTATTTGATCAACATGAGTTGATTCGAAGGACTTACTAATTGATGAGAATTGATCATAATTTTTGATTACAATTGATTAGAATTTCGATTTTGTTGCGAAATAATCGGATTCATGATTTTAATTATTACTATAAGATTTTAAAATTTTAATCGGATTTAATCAGCCAAATTTTTCACTGGAATATGTACTATATGTAAAAAATTCAGTAAAGAATGATAAAAGAATCGATGCGTGCATGACAAAGAAAAGAGTGAACGTGACGAAAGGCCTTGTGTTATTCATCGTCTGAGTAATTACTTTATTCCTCTTATTTTTTTTGTTATTCTTCTATTTAATCATAAACGATACAAATATTTAAAGAACAAAAGAATTCTTCTTTATTAATATTTTGATCATCATTTTTCTTATTTATTGTTATACTTTAAAACAGCAAATTCATGTTGGCTTGTCAAATTAGTAGAATTTGACAAACGAAAAGTTTTAGACTGAATTCTTACGATGGCCAGTATGTGCGTTCCAAACTTCTACTGCTGCTGCTGCTGCTGTTGACGTTGAGTTTCGTTTATCACGTTCCATTTTGTGACAACAAAGACAGCGTGCATATATTTGAATTCCATGTAGATAACCATGTTTCAAGCAAAGTTGACGACAGTAACCAGCTTCAGTTTGATCAGGCATGAAAACTAGTAATGTTGAAAGAACAGCAAGAGCAATCAGCTCTGTCGCTGATTTGGTCATTTTCGTTTATGAAATTCAATCTAAATATGAGAAATTAATACTGACATTCTCCATGTCTACCGTTCAATATCGCATAACAAAACTGACTTACGATTGTAAGACTGTTGTCTTTATTGAGGTACTATAGAGCAGAGAGACCTTTTTTTATCGTCTATTTATGATCAGTTGTCGAAACTGGGAAACATCTCTTCTAAAAGCAAAAGACTCCACGTTCGATCGAAATGGGAAAATACGCACGCCTATCTCGAAAATAGTTGCACTTGGTCATTTTCTAATCAATCCAAAGGGAAAGAGGGACTCGATTTGGATGGGATTTTTCACACAAACAAACAAAACACTATGTGCAATTGTGTATAATACGACGTAACAAACTCGCTCGCCATTTAGGTTTTTTTCCCTTCTTAGCATAGATAGGATGTCTGTGTTTTTTCCCTTCTTTGCATAGATGGGATGTCTGTGTTTTTTCCCTTCTTTGCATAGATGGGATGTCTGTATTTTTTCCTTTCTTTGCATAGATAGGATGTGTGTGTTTTTTCCCTTAGACCTACTTGCGTTTGGACTGTATAAAAACTAGCTTCATTGATGGAGGGAATCACTTCACTCCAACTGCAATTTTTACTTTCTATTGTTTCCTTTTACACTTCATCTTTCAAACGAAAAGATCTGGTAACCAAAGAAAAAAATGAATATCATCAAGTTTGGGATTGGAGCTGTGCTCGTTCTCTTAGCGCTGCTCTCCTTCATGGATATGGTCGATGGACACGGTCATTGGTCATGCGGCAATTGTAATTGTGATACACGCTCATCATGGGGTGGTGATCATCACTGTCATTGTCCTCTGGGTACGCGATGGTCAGGTTTTCGAGAAAAAGAATGGCACAATAAAAATCATCATATTTATTACCTTGATGGTAAACACCCACCTTGTTAATGGTATTATTCAGAAAAATAATATAACCAATCAAAAAAAAACGAAATTGGTGAATGACGAGAATCTTTCTTCGTCACATGATTGCCTTATGTCCTTCTCAATTTTTTTTAATCAAATAAATTCTTCTCATTTAATCTTGATATGCAGAGAAAAGTACATCTTTTTGATTCGCTTCGGTAATCTCACGATCATGACGGTTCTAAAGGGACTGTTGAATATCATAAAGGACTACATAGAATCATAAAATTGAACCGAAATAATGATAAAAAGAATTGTATAACTAATGAAATAGAATTATGCTGTGCTCCACTAAAGATGCAATACATAGAACACATGAAGAATACAATATACCATGCGGGCAACATAAGAAACATGAGTAAGTCGGCAAGCATATCTAAGCAGAGACCTTAATGAACGAGCGAAACAAGAGAGAATGTGCAGAGCCATTTTAAATCCATACTTTTCCTTGTATCTCTCTACCAACGACAAAATCATTGCGAATGGGTTTTTTGATCTGAAACGTCGAAAATATTATCAAAAGAAGGTTTCTTGGATATGTATAGATAGCACACGTGGAGAAGATTATAATGTACAGAAAAAGTTAATATGAAGATAAAACTGTGCATATAATTTCTGAGTCTTGCTTATGTGTGTAAAAGTAGAATATTCAATGTTCGATTAATTTATATTTATTTTCATTTGTTTTGTCTTTTATTCTTATTCTGTTGTTCGATGATTTTTTTTAAATGTTCACCCTTAATGAAGAACAGCGCTAGTATATCGTTAATGAGTGGACAAACGGCTCGAAAAGTGTCGCACAAATGGCACGTTTTCTTAACTGTCACATTTCTACAATATATCGCGTTATTAATTATTATCGTTGCCATCATAATGTAAACTATGAACATTAGTATATGAACAGTTTTATCTTCATATTAACTTTTCTGTACATTATAATCTTCTCCACGTGTGCTATTGATACATATCCAAGAAAACATCTTTTGATAATATTTTCGACGTTTC